GAGCCTTCCCGCTCCCATAAGCAAGTATATGCTCAAGATAATAAGTCTGTGACCTGACTACCATCCACAGCAACGGACAGTCCTCAATCGACACATGCGGAACAAGTGCAATCCGAGCCTCGCCCGAATGCCTAACCAAGTCCGGATCCAAAGTACCTGTCGACGTAAAAACGTGTCAATGCGCCTGACACACAGCAAGCTGGAAGGATCTGCTTGATGAAGCAAGGCTGGAGATCCGCTTGGTTTCAACGCAGGACCAGTCGACCCTACGAATTCCCGAAGGTGTGCTAGTCAATTTGACCTATAATTGATAAGGAGAGAAAGTTTATCAGTAATTTAAGGTGGAACATGCCAGTCTTGCCCAGACAGTTCCAAATATGCCGCTTCGGGAGCAGCCAGGCAGGAAAAATCGACTAAACAGCCGATACGCGGAGAAATCAGCTATTAAGGACTGTAAAGCTCGTGGGTTGCGATTGATTTTATGATGACAAGTACAATGCACGCAGATATAAGTAAAATCATCAGCTAGGTGGATATTACCAGTGTAAAGCATTGAGCCGATGAATCTAACGAGAAATGATATAACATGCGAATAAATCGACTGTCTAGTACAAATGGATCTACAAACGCTCTGAATCTAATATGTTACTATCAACAGTGAGGTTCAACCGGATCGATGATAGCTATAATGATAATAACAAACTAAACCAAAGAATCCATAAAACTGTCTATACATTGACAGGTTTTCTGAAAGACATGCTATATGTGTGAAAGCATGAGCGAATCGGCTGAAATAGCCAATTCAGATAGAAAAGGGACTACATCACGTGAATAATCGACTATTTAACATGGACAGATCTATGAGCTCATCAGACCTAGCCTGATATCTTTAATAGTGGGGTTCGACCGGATCGATGACAGCCATGATAAAGACAACAAATCAACCCTTTAAAGTAAACGGATCTATTCACATTTAATAGAATCATAGAGACACATGGTAGGCATTAAAGCACAGACGATCGGCTATTTAGCCAATGCGGGCATAGCAAACAGCCAGGGTCATGCCTGGTCGAAAGCAAATCCACCAGCTAGCATACTCCGATCTAAAGTACTAACCATGGGGGTCGACCGAATCGATACATCCATAATAGCGAGCTATGGACCAGATTCAACTAGCTAGTAAACCTTTTCAAGATCAGACATGCCTTGACCACGTATTATGCATGACCAAAATCGAAGCAGAACAGCCGATGAAACATAATCCGTCGTTTAAAGTAAGAACCGTCGCAATGTAACATAATAAATGATAGATTAAAAGGATGTGAGGCTGATCTAGATCGATCTCGATCGGGCAGGTTGATATTACTGAAAACTAATGACAATAAGAACATCAGCAAGATCGGTAACTTAATGAATCTAACAGGAGGATGCCACCCTTAGGTAGAGCCGATAACTTGACCTTAATCTAATTCGAGCAGTGGAGGTCGAACTTAACCGATGCAGCCATACTTGAACTAGATAAGAATCGATAACTAGCTTATGCTAAAGTTCGTAGCGTAGGTCAAACTTAACCGATGCAACCTTACGAACAGAAGTATAAACCATGACGGTACTTACAGACAAGCCAGAGGTCGGCCGGACCGATGCAGCCCTGCTTGTTGAAAAACTCGTCGAGATCTACACTACTCCTACTCCTAAGGGTTGGCGTGAAGCCGAAAAAAATAATTGGTATTGATTGATTGGATGTCCTTTATAATAGCCGGGGTCAAATATTTATGTCCGGAACTTAAGCATGAATCCTACTCAAGTACGACTTGTTACAATATTTGGTATAAGAGAAAAACATTCCTAACTTAAGATAATTTGGACCCTAATCTTTTCCTTTTTATAGAGTCCGACATTTTTCTAGACACAAACCGTAGCTCATTGACGTTATCCGCTGATGTCATCCGAAGAGAGCCGATCTCAGTGACGCATCTGAATCAGCTGATATCGATCCTTATGCAATCGATATCTTGATGACTAAATCTTGAAAGTTTCGAGATCCCGCGTTCTTCTTCCCAAATTTTTGGTGTAAACAGTACTATTCTGCCCGGTCTTCAATTATCATTCATATATTCCATGTGACAGTAACAATAATATCTTTTCTATCTCTCGCGAGTGACAGATAATTACTCGACTTCTACCGGATCCTATAGCATAGCAATCCACACGATCCTCACATACTAGTAGAACTCATAGGATAAGGATATATATGCAAGTGGTTTTCATTCAACTCCTTAAAACTTAACGCACAAGCATAAGATAAAGTGTAGAATAATAGGGGTTATGCACCGAGGCTTGCCTGGGCAAGATGTAAACAAGGATTAGCATTCCATCATGGTGACACGATCATCAAGGCGCCATCTTTTCCGCTACTCCAGATGACTTCGCAATCCATCGGTGTTCCTATTATGATATACGTGGATGCAACGTAGAAAACATAATTAATCAACGGCAACCGTAACTCTTAAAATATGTTGACGCCTCTCAAGCTAACGAGCTAGCTCTAACGGCTAACGCACCAGGCTACATGTCCACGTGGTCGAGTAAGGTGTCGTTTCCCAAAAAATATTTTAGTTCTACAATCCTAATATGTTTCAGCATTTTATTGATTATATATATATATATATATAAACTATGGCTCATTTAGCTACCTTAGCAAATTAATTATTATGGAGCTACAAAATTACAGTGAGCCTATAATAATACTAGGAACTTACTGTAAAATTTATAGAATTAACACTAGCACTTGATTGATCATAAAAATTCGTACAAGTTCATATTTTAATAATATTAAAGCATGTTAAAGTATTTAGAGCAACCTTGAAATATTTTAGAGTTATGTGAACCAAACAAACTAACAGATAAATTATGATTTTAGAAACCTAACAAAATTGATTTCACAAATTTTTTTGACTCCTAAATGATTTTATATTTAAATAACAAAATCACCCTAGAATTTATTTTAGAAAATCTTTACTAATTCACTGGAGAAAGAAAAGGGCACCGTAGCCCACTCGGCCCAGGGCATGGTGCGGCCGCGCGCGGCATCGCCGGCCCAGCAACAACCCAAGGTGGGGAGCCCGCGCACGCCGGTAATCTTGCAAAAAGGCCCCCGGATTCTAGAAGAACTACGCAACGCAACGTGTCCCTATTCCAACAGAGAGAGGATTTGCGCTCAGCACCCTGCAAAGACTCATCTTTGCAACAGGCATGCCCCCAGGCACGCGTGCGTGATGGCGTGGCGCACCGACGGCATACGTTGGTTACGCCGGCCAACGACAGGGTTAGCCGGCGGTCGGAAGGGGTTGAATACCTAAACCTAAACAAAGAGGGACCCTGGAAGGTGGTTTGGTGACTAGTGGGGCCCTACAGCGGCCTAGCCACGACGGCAGGCGGAACAGCGCCGTTCACGGCGTTGGCGCTGCTACTCCGGTAAGCTAGAGCGGCGGTAAGACAAACGGGGAGGCGTGGGAGCACCAGGAGCTTACCACGGTTCTAGCCAAGGTGATGGTTGGGGCCGAGGAAGGCGAAGCCACGTTGGCCATGTACGAGTGGGCGGTGCGGCGGCACTCCGAGCACGCCCCCCCCCCCCTCCGTGTCAACACGTCGCTGACAGTGCCTCCGGTGGAACTAGCGCGCGCATGAGGACGAGGGGGCCAAGGCAGGCTCATAGGAGCAAGTAATCAAATCGCTATCGAAGCATACCAGCTTACCCATGACCGAGTTAAGGCACGGAGGCGGAGGCGACCAGCGGTGGGGAAAAACATGAAATTGGTCGGCAACGGAGCTTGGTTGTGGCTCGGGGCGGGTGGCTCAGCTAGACAACTCTATGGCGGAGCTATAAGTGCCACGAATCGAGCTCTAATGAACTGAGGCGCGCGAATTTTGAATCCTCTGTGGGAGGGGACGTCGGCCTGTCGTCCATGATGGCGGTGATGGCTTGCGACGAATCACGAGATTTTCCATCTGACGGCTACCGCCCTACCGCCCTGTTTGCTTGTCTTATGAGCCGTACTTTTTCAGACAACGAACAATATTTTTCTCTCACGACAAATCAGCCAACAGTACTTTCAACCATGGCTTATCAGCCAAGCGCATAGGACATACATGTGTGAGGGCATATGACCTGCAGAGCAAATTTAACTTTCTCAGCTAGATCCATCTTTCTCCGCGTACCGACTGTCCTGGAACAACGATCATCCTATTTCCAAGTTCCAACCAGGAGAGGGATACAGCTAGCTATCTCTGTCCTTCCAGATCCAGCGAAAGGAGACTACCAGTGGGACAAAGGAACTGTGCTCCCATCTCAAACAAGAAAGCAAGCAAGCAAGAAACAAATTGTGCTCCTATACAAGCGTAAGAGAAGGATGCAGGCCAATTAATTACGCGAAAGCGCACTGCTACATGTTCGACGGCATTTAATCCCAGCACATGCCACAGCACACCCTCGCCGCTGTTGACACACTGATATTTATCACATGACCACCCTCAGCACCGATGGTGTTCAGAGTAGCGTTCATAAATCACAACAGCAGCACCCCTCAAAAAAAAATCACAACAGCAGCACATGACAGTTCCTAGCACATTCACGGTGGAATTTCATTTCATTGCCCAGGCATCGGGTGTTAATAAGCAGAAAAAAGGTTCTGAAACCCAAAGCGATTGAATACAAGCTCCCAGGCTCAAGATTGTTTCAGAGAGCAAACTCGAAATCAGAGGTCTCAATTGTCGATTTCAATTTCCTCTCGTCATGAAAGGAGGACTGCTTCTAAATTCTAATTTCTCAAGGCCGATTACTAGCAGACAGTACCGCCAAACCACTGAACCTACCCCCCAAGAAGCTTGGGGAGGATACAGCTTCTAAAGATCAGATTACCGATGGGAGGAATTACCATAAGAGAGAGAATTTGATACTCGACGACACTGAGATTCAACTGAACCCCTCAGTATTCGCCTCATCGCCTTTTCTTTGTCTTCGCATTTGAAGCAGGGGCAGAGTTCTGCTCGGTAACCATCTTTATAAGATTCACAAGGGACCGCAACCTGTCCCACACGCTATAGCCATACAAAGTCTCCACAAGCAACTGCTGGAACTCAAATCCATGCTCTGAGACAGGATACTGCAAAAAATGATAAGCAGCTAAATATCAGGTCCGCAAGAACCAAGTAAAACCATGCAAATCAGACTATTTATTATATCGTGGGGATTGGGGAAGAAGTAGACCTGGATAGGTTTCGGGATCACTGTTTTAATATATGGCCATAATCTATCTTCTACAACAGACTTCACAAGACAGCAAGCTCGCAAGCCTTCTACACCAGCAAATCTCCCAAATCCACTGTCTTTAACACCACCGAATGGCAAAGACTGCAGCCAGAAACACAAGTAAGCATACTTGCATTGCCAGTGTAACACAAAATGTAAAAACAATATAAGCATGATGTGAATATTGCATTACTTAACATACAACGCTAGACACTACAGGATGCGTGAGCCTACTAGAGGAAAATTGCAAAAGATATAGCTTCTTATCATCAGCACCATGCTTCAATTCTGTGTTATTCCCTCCATTCCAAATTAGAAGACGTTTTGCCTTTTCTAGATACATAACTTTTGCTATGCACTTAGATATACACCAGGTCTAGATACATAGTTAAAGGATTGTATCTAGAAAAGTCAGTCTTATAATTTGGAATGGAGGGAGTACATAGGACAGACAGCATGAATTACACACTTACCTGACACATGTAACTTGAAGCAAAATCATTGATTGCTGCTACCCCACAGTGTATTTGGGATGCTATTCTGATGGCACGCTTCTGGTTGCCAGAAAAAACAGCACAACCAAGACCATACTTTGAGTCGTTTGCAAGTTTGATAGCCTCTTCATCAGAACCGAATTTCATGATTGGTAGAATCGGTCCAAATGCCTGTTGATCAGCAACTGACAATGTTAAGATTAACACTAGTATCACTTGTACTAAAGAAAATCAAAGATTGACTCCAGCTTACCTCTTCTTGCATAATTTTCATTGTGTGATCAACATTCACCAGGACAGTTGGAGGGAAAAATTGATCAACTGCGTCTTCCCCAAGATTACCAAAGCTCCCTCTGACGGCAATTTCGGCACCTTTGTCTAGAGCATCATTAACAAGACTCTGAAGTTTCTCAGAGTGCTCCATCATACAGATTGCACCCATGTCATATCTGCCTGATAATGGGGGGGCCCTAGAAAAATAACAAAGGGCAAAACATGAGTGCTATCGCAAAAAGTATAAGTGTCAATAAAACAATTGAAAAAATAATTCAATCGGTATCTAAAGATGTTGCTGATAGACCTATGGGTTATCTACTGAAACTGTTTAGGGTCGCCTATTAAATTAAGATAAGCTGCAACTAACAAATTTCATGTAAAACATGAAAAACAAAACAATATGGAATGAAGAGGTTAGAAATGTGAAAAGTATACCCATAGTCTCATGTGTTAATTCACATATTTGCATTTGTTTGTAAGACACTATGACATAGCAATAACAGATAATAATACAGAAATGACAGCACAAGGTTGTGATCCTGTAAAGCAGTACGACACTCAGAAGGTAAGGCAATAAATTGGCGCAAGGTAATTGGCTGCAAAATATGGCTGTTACTTACAACACATATAGATTTGACTATCTTCACTACTTGTGAAACAAAGGAAGAATAGATGTCGTTGTGAACATAAAATCTTTCAGCACCAGCGCAGTTCTGCCCACTAGATTGTAGAGCAGCTCTAACGGCAACTTGAACAACCTTCAAACAGGAAAAGACAACAGATTAGGTCCAGTACACTGCTAGGACTTGAAGAAAATATGATGTTCATGGCATAGGCAATATAAACTCCCTTACACTGGGTAAATCTACATCTTCACACACAATAAATGAATCTTTGCCACCAAGCTCAAGAGTTACAGGTATTAGAGTCTCTGATGCCCTTTTCATGATCTGTAATAACACATAAAACTGAAGACTTTAGAACAGAGAAATGATAGAGCCATAGACAGGAAAAACTGAAGACAGCGTTATTCTTCCACCAGCAAGGGCGTGCAGACGAAAGGGAGAACAGGATGGCAATTGTCTGATGAATCTTGCTTCGTTGGAGATGGAGGAGTTTTTTGGAAACTGTTCAACAGCCTGTGTGTTGATACTGCCAGCTGGGCATATGTAATAAAGGATAGTCAGGGTGCACTTGGTTAAACTCTCGGTTGGGCGGGTGCCGGTTTAAACTTCGGTTATCGTTAGTTGGTTTTGGTCACTAGTTTTGAGCCAGTTGGGTGTTCATTTCAATGCGGTCTTGCGTTAGGCCCGGTTTTTCTTTCTGTTTGAACAAACTATTGTAATTTCGTTGCTTTCGAGTAATGAAATTCAGCTATGCCATTGTGGAAAAGAAATTCTATTGTAATACTTGTACCTAAAATGGCAGAAAAGTATATGCTAGCAGACAGTTTTTGGCAACATAATTCCTTTACAAAATAGATGCACATTGTGCTGCAGATATAATATCTAATATACATGTTTAGTCCTTAGGCCTGCCACTTTGTGGCAATTGGTCATGGTCTATCTGGGCAGCCAAGGAGGATAACTATGAGCAATCAGTTCACTTAGCAAGCACAAAAGGCATGTTCATAGGTTAGACAGAATCCACCAAACCATATACTGAAAAATAAGAATATTAATCGCATGAGCTTAAGCAAACACCACTTCAGATGAGAGGTATACCATTTTTCCAACACCAGGGGATCCCACAAATATTATTTTGTCCACTGATGATACAAGAGCTTGGCCTGTTTCCGCAAAACTAAAAACAAACAAGAAAAACAGAGTCCAGGTAAGCAATGTGCATCTAGCCTGTAAACTATAGAAAGCTGCATTCATCATACCCAGTTATTATGTGCACCAGATTCTCAGGAGCACCAACAGCTGAAAGAGCTGCTTGTATGATACGAAAATAAAAGCAGCCTGACCAACTCGCATATTCTGAGACCTATAAAAGGTCAATTTACCAATCAGAATAATCTTGAATAATGTCTAATGTACATCAGAAATCAGATGAAGCATATTTTAGAGCACACCATAATGCCTATGCATGGCAGAAAGCTGTATATAACATATAAATACATTTAGCTTAGAAAAACAAGAAAAAAGTTAATGACACAATTGTACGCAGTGTTGCCACACTACATTCTTTCTTGAACAACTCAGGAGAGCTGTGTGTCATTTCATTATGGAGAGGAAAATAACAGAGAGAGAGAGAGAGAGAGAGTCAATTCTATCAGCATTCAGTATAAATGAAAAGATCCATCCAATGAAAGCTTGGTAGAGAATGTTCTGCGTTTATTTGAGAAGGATGCTTTCTATGAGCCAACATATGTTCAATACGCAATTTACTACTTTCTAGAAGATTATTTTAGGTTAATTCAACAAAAGGATAATTAGAGAATAGAGATACATCACATAAATCATAGCCCTCAGCATCAATGGCGGCACATAAAACAGGAGATATCAAGATTGCTGAATAACAAAAATTGATCTATGAGACCACAATGTGTACATGAAAATGGTTTGTTAAAGAACAGACTAGACAATGTAATTTCAGGGATTTAGACTTTATAGTATTTATAATTAGAAAAAAAAAAATAGGCTCCAGAGCTAGGGCCAAGCACCAGTCAACGAGTCAAGGTAATAGACTATTAACAAATAAACAATGTGCAAAGAATAAAAAGCCTCATTCTGGAGATAGATAATGATGCTACCTTTATAACTGCTGCATTACCGGAGAATACTGCGGCCAGCATTGGATTAAAAACATTATGGAAGGGATAATTCCAAGATACAATGGCACCAATCACTCCAAGAGGGTAAAACTCAACTTTTGCTCTCTTATGCAGCATTGATCTCCCAGTAGATCTGAGCAACAGAAAAAGCAAGCATCCCAACAATTTATTTAATCGGAGGCACATAATAAGAAAAGAAACCACTACTTTTACTTTGTAAAAAAAACATCATGTTAAGTAACAATACTACGGGGGCATCAAGAAAGGAATACAAAGTTCTAGGCAAGACCGCAAGAGTGAGCAGAAGTTGCAGAGTACCAACTATCCCAGATTTTATCATGTAGGCCCATTACCTTAAGTACCAAACTTTATTTTGCCTTAAGGTGTTCAATTCCCAGTGTCACCCATACAAGCAGTTATTCACCTCTACCAGCAAGGATACAAGGTCCTAAGTTACTTTTCCATCATGTAAGAATAATTTTGAGGATTCTAACCTGTATTCAGGTTTCAACCACTTCTCACCCTCGTCCAAAAGCCAGGTAATCTTCTCACATGTGGTCATTATCTCGCCTAACGAAGCATCAACCATAGTCTTTCCAGTGTCCCGAGACGATACCCTACACAGCATAAACAGATTTGAGTTCATTTCTCCAGATGTCAAGACGTGTGAAGAAGTTCGACAGAAGTTGGGACCTTACTCGCATATGAGATCCTGATGTTCAAGAATATACTTGAGAAGGATTCGAAGAAACTGGCGCCTTTGCTTGAAGCTGCTTTTTGCCCATATCTTTTGAGCTTTCCTGGCTTGTGCAACATGTTCGTTGACCTGATTACCCAGAGAATTGGCCACAATCAAACCCAAATAAAGAAACGTTAATGAAGTTCGACATACTGAAAGAATACTGCATCTGTTCCTCAACTATTCGCCGGTTAAATCAACAAGGGGTGCACCAACCCTCTAGATAATAGACAGAGGCGGAAATGACAATGCATGACTAGAGGGACCTTAACTAAAAAACCAAGGCAGCAACATACCTCATCAGGAGTCAACGCAGGGAAGTACCCCAAGTATTTCATGGTCGCTGGTTCATAGCATTGGACCTTGTCAGTCTGAGCTGCTTTACCCTTTCTCGGTATCTGCAGCAGTGGACAAAGTTAGAATGGATGATACATTCTGGCAATTGATAAGCGCAATGAGCTGAAAACAAATTGCCATTCTGAGGACAGCTATTGTCATGGCCACAACAGGACATTTCAAACAAATGTCAGTGATTCAGCATCAGGTGGAAGCAAATCACTGCTACACTTGCAGAGAAAGCCATGCCTAGCCCTTTCTGAAACCTATATGAGTGCAGATAAGACTCAAAGTTACCGCAGGCAGGTACCGTCCTCTTATCTTACATACAGTGCTGATTGCTGAACCACTTTGAGGCTAAGATCTAAACCGCATTAATGATGGAAGTTTAAACTACACTAATGTATTACATGAGTTACTTGTTGAAAGCAGATTAACCGGATGCAGCGGTGGTAGTACAACAGAATCACAATAGAATGGAACATTGCTTTGCTTCCCAGGCTACCTCAACTCAAATCAAGAGCAACTAAGTGGACAGGCGCAGAGGGGCAGGGACTTACGTAGATGAAGCTGTCCTCCTTGGCCAACACTGCGCCAAATCAGAAACACACGGAATCAATAAACCCTCACAAAGCCCTGCCCAGACTTGTAGAATCCGAAAGAATAACAACGGCAGAAGTAGTATAGTAATGAGACGAAAACGGGAGAGGGGGCAGTACCGTCGGAAGCGTCGACGTCGATGGATGGGACGGTGGGCGGGATGAGGAGGAGGAGCAGGCGGCAGAGCGCGTATGCGGCGGCGAGCACCAGCAGCGGCCACCAGAAGGCCATGGGCGAGCCGGCGCGTGGCGACGCCTCCCTGTCTAGGGTTCGCGGCGAGCGGCGAGCGAGGAAGCCTGCGGTTGCTAGGGACGGCGATGGCGGGATTGCATCTGATCAGAGAAGAAGCGAACAAAAAATGAGGAATCCAATCGGACCGGATCGGAATTCGGAAGGGCTGTACACTACCACCACTAGACTAGTACTTTATTCGATTCCGGGAGTGTGGAGTGGAGTGGAGTGAATGGGAGAGGAGGGAGGAGGGAGCGGAGAGGCGTCTGACCCGGCCGCCGCCCGTTCCCTTCCGGTCCGCCGGCGGTCCCCTTTTCTCAATTTTCTATACTAGTCGCTCTATATTGAAGGCAAGTATTTTTCAGCAAACTAACTGGGTGTTTTCTCTCATAAAAAATCAACAATCGAAAAATTTCAACGAAACAAGCAAGGCCACTACTACTTTCTACAATTATTTTCTTTTTATTACACGATTGTACCTGTCGAGGACCAATACTAGAATATCTAAAGAGAATGAGCTAATAGTCATCAACATTGATTCATCCGAGCAGTCAAGAGCGCAACTACAAGCTCCAACCGACCCCAGGTGCGCGGGCTCCGCCTCGCCCGCCCTCTGTTGGTGGGATCCGCCTCGCCCGATCTCGAGACCGCGATCTCCGTCTCGCCCCTTTGGGTTCGTGCTTGGTCTCGTCCGACGGAGACCCATATCGTCGCCAACCATTTCAGGTCCAAGCGTATGGGTCTGGGTCAAAACTCTGACACCGGAGAAGAGATTGGCATGCCTCGATGTAACGCGTGGCCATGACGAGCCATACCTGAGGGTTCATATAAAAACAGCGTTGGGCGTACCGGTGCTGTTCTGCTTAACCCTCGTACGAACGATGACAGGCGTGTCAGTTCACCACGACGTCCGTCGGAACAGGATGGAACGCCATGACTGACAGACGATGCCCGCGCATAGCGCTAGTGACGGATAGGGCCGCAACATGGAGTTGTCCATGTTGACATCTACAGAATCTGTGGGACCAGCATGAATGAGAAGAAGGACCCGACGATTCTGGAAGCTTTCCTCTCTCTCGTTCTTCTCCTTTTTCTTCGTTGTAACCCGCGCTTTTCCTTGACCTATAAAAGAAAAAGCGGGGCGCCCATGAAAAGGATCAACCCATAGAGACTCGATCAGAGCTAGATCCGCACAAGTGCACGACGCGAACGCACAGCTGAGCGGCTATCGAGCTCTCAGCACCCACTCACTCCTTCCACTAGAGACTTAGGATCATTTTCCTCTCTCGTCCATTTGTAGCCCCTACTATAAACTTTCAGTGCTAATAACACGAGCAGAAGTGACGAACTAGACATAGGGATTTTCTGCCCGAACCAGTATCCTCTAAGCACACCATCCGAGCCAGACGCGCAATACTAGAAATTTACTCGTCGGTGGCAACTCGAAATACCGACAGTTGGCGCGCCAGGTAGGGGCCTTTTGTGTGTCTCGACGTCCACACCAGATCTCGGATGGCTAGTCACGGTGTCAGCTAGGTCCTGGGCGCTCACGTGTGCTTTAGGAACCTGGACTTTATCGTCACAACGGAGAGAGAGTTGGCACATGCTCCTGCCGCCGCCCAACCTCTCCACTCTGTCGACCTCAACGCGATCGTCGAGGCGCTTGAGGAGCTGCAGCTGCACACACCGAAGGCCTGCGCCCCCAGGAGTGACCAGCTCCTCGGCTTTGACTACGGGAGGTTAGAGCGCCAGCTCAGCGCCTTCCTGGGACCCCGACCGTCCCGAGAGGACCTGGGCCGCCTCACCTTCTTGTTCGTCAACGTCATGACATAGCTTGCCGAAGGAGAGCCGCTCTCCCCAGAATACCTCATTCGGAGCGCCTCGACAGCGCTCCCGTTCAGTCTGCGCAACGCCGCAGAAACCGCTGGCCACCTTGTGGCGCAGTGCATGCCCCCATCCCTTACGGACGGCGAGTTCGTGGGGATAACCGAATATGTCACGGAATCTTTCCACGACCTCCTTGCAGGAGAATCGAAGTTGCCCTCCAGCTCTGCCTCTAGCAGGGGGAGCCATCGCCCCTCTCGTGAATGTTTCATGGCAGGTACCCCCGAGGGACACGTTGAAAGCATCCACGAGAGAGAGGCTACCCCAACGAATGACTTCAACGATGAGGTCGAGAGGGATACAGGGGCCCCACCTCACTTGCAAGTGGAGCAGCTGAAGGCCCGGCACCAAGAGCTCGGGGAAGCATGACTCCAGCTCGAGCAGAAATGCATGGAGCTCGAGCGAGAGATCGAGCACCACGGAGACGGTGGGCGTGCACGCGCCGTGGCCCGCGACGTGAATTGGAGAATCATCGAGAACGATGAAGCCCTCCCACACTTCATCCGAGCGAGCCAGAACATCGCTGCTGCGGTGGCCTTGCTCTGGGGGCTTCCGGGGTCTACGACGCCTGAGGATCGTCGGGCCCATCGCGAGATTCGCACGCTACTCGAGCGTGTAGTGGCACAGCAGGTCGAGAGCTCGCTGTCTCGATGACGCGAGCTCGACGGCAGCCAACGCACGCCCTCAGAGCGACCAGGCGTAGCAAGGCGGCAGGCCACACACTGTGGTCCCGGTGCATGAGCGTCTCAGCCTCCACCAGACGCACGCGACACCCTCGACGCCCGCAGGCGTACCCGCTGCGATACGAGGGAGGGGGCTAGACACGGCTACCACCCACGTCGTGGCAGACGCTACGACAGCGACGACGACCAAAGCCCGAGCCCTGACTTGCTGGGATCTCAGGCCTTCGGCCGACACATCCTCAACACCGTCTTCCCACCACGGTACCGACCACCGACCAACATCCCAAAATACTCTGGGGAAACGAACCCCGGACTGTGGCTCAAAGATTATCAGCTTGCTTGCCAAGCCGGTGGAGCAGATAATGACGATTTCATTATCCGCAACCTTCTGTTGTTCCTGACTGATTCAGCGCGAACGTGGTTGGAACACCTTCCGCCCAACCAAATCCAAAGATGGGCGGACCTAAAAGAGATCTTCGTGGGAAACTTCTAGGGCACATACGCGCGTCCTGGGAACCCATGGGATCTAAAAACTGCCAATAGAAGGTCGGGGAAACTCTTCTCTCGGTAGTGCAATGAGCTGCCCAACGTCACCGACGCCGACGTTATAGGAGCCTTCCTGTCTAGGACCACCTGTGAGTCCCTGGTTCACAAGCTAGGATGTAAGGGCCCGTGAACCACTAAGGAGCTCCTCAACATCGCCACCAGCCACGCCTCGGGCAAGGAGGCGGTCGGGGTGATTTTCGACCGAGACAAGGTGAAGTGGGACAAGGACGCCGGCAAATGCGCCTCCAACCGTCCCAGCAAGAAGAAGAATAAGCAGCGGCGCGAGAGCTTGCTCGTGGCCACCACCGACCGCATGGGGGTCGGAAGCCCATCGAGGGCACCCCAAACCACTTCAAGAAGTTGCTCAAAGGACCATGTCCGAACCATGCTTTCTCCGTTAAACACCTATACAAGGACTGTGTCCTCATAAAACAGTTCTTATCTGGAGGCTCCAACAAGGGGGAGCATAGGGGGACCCCAAGTCGGCCGCAGACGACGCCAAGGGGAAGGACGATGAATTTCCGATGCTGGATGGCTGCCTCATGATCTTTGGAGAGTCGGCAGCCTATGACCCCAAGCGCCGTCATAAGCTCGCGCGCCGCGAGGTCTATATGGCCAAGCCGGTCGCACCTACTTTCCTCTGATGGTCGAAGTCCGCCATAACCTTTGATCAGACCGACCACCCGAAAAGCGTCCCACAGCCGGGATGATATTCGCTCATGGTCGACCTAATCATCGGCACGAAGCGGCTCACAAAGGTACTAATAGATGGTGGCAGTGGCCTCAACATCATGTATGACGAAATGCTCGACGCCATGGGCGTCGATCGATCGCGCGTCCGACCGACTAGAGCGCCTTTCCATGGCATCATGCTTAGAAAGCAGGTCGTGCCACTTGGGTAGATCGATCTGCCCATCACCTTTGGGGATCCGACCAATTACTGGACGGAGACCCTTACCTTCGAGGTGGTTGGGTTCCATGGAAACTACCATGCCATCCTAGGACATCCATGCTACGTGAAGTTCATGGTCGTCCCTATCTACACCTACCTAAAGTTGAAGATGCTAGGTCCATGCAGGGTCATCACCATCGGCGCCTCCTTTCAGCGCGCCTACAAGTGCGAGGCCGAATGCTACGAACATGCCACGGCAATTATCGCCTCCAAGGAGCTTGCGGCCATCAGGAAGGAGGTCATCAAGGAAGCGTCCGACCCCAAGCGGTTGCCTAGGTCTTTCGCACCTGTAGAAGGCACCAAAGAGGTCCTCATAGACCCCAGCGTCTCTGAAGGCAAAGTGGTGCGCATTGGCACCATGCTTTCCTCCAAATAGGAAAGTGCGCTCGTCGACTTCCTCCATGCCAACAAAGACATCTTTGCATGGAGACCCTCGAACATGTCAGGCATTCTAAGAAAAGTCACCGAGCATGCCTTGAAGATTAGGCTAGGCTCCAAGCCAGTGAAGCAGCGCCTACGTCGCTTCGATGAGGAGAAACGTAGGGCCATCGGCTAGGAGATTGCGAAGCTTTTGGTGGCTAGGTTCATCAAGGAAGTATACCCCCCTAAGTGGTTAGCCAATCCCGTTCTTGTACGAAAGAAGAGTGGGAAATGGAGAATGTATGTTGACTACACGGGTCTCAACAAAGCGTATCCAAAGGATCCGCTTCCTTTGCCATGCATAGACCAAGTAGTTGACTCGACCTTAGGGTGCGAAACCCTTTGCTTCCTTGATGCGTACTCTGGGTATCATCAAATCGTGATGAAAAAGTCTGACCAGCTCACGACATCTTTCATCACCCCATTCAGATCGTTCTGCTATGTCACAATGTCGTTTGATCTAAAAAACATGGGGGCTACGTACTAGCGTTGTATGCTCAAGTGTTTTGGGGACC